ACGGAGGACGGTCGGACTGTGAGGCGCACACTGAAAAAAAGAGGCCAGCATCCATATGCTTGCCTCGTTTGCTGGCTTGCTTTCCTTCAGACCCCCCACCCCGCTCCCATTGGTTTACAGGCATTTCCTCGTGGGCAAGCTTCGAATCGGGATCCAAATTCCCCCCTTCCACCCAATTCCTGCTTCTTTGGCTCTTCTCCTTCCTCTTATTTAAAAGCGGCCTGAGGTTAATAAAAGCGGATCGAAAGCCGCGGTACGTGTGGGTGCTGGTCAAACTGGATGACCTCTGGACTCTTTTCTGGAATTCTCCTTTCTTACAAAGCTTTCCCAACTTGGGCGATGGGATCCAGTGTTTGCTGGTGAGGTGGGTGGAAGAGGAGGGCCACATGTTGCGGTCCTTATGGGACACAACTCGTTTCTCCCGCCCATCACACAATGACTGGAGATAGATGGGGTGATAGCGGGAATGAGATCTGTGGTCCTCATCTGTTTAGAAAAGTGGATGCTATAGACAGAGTCTTCATCCTTTTAGATAACAAGGCTCTTGTGTTCAATGCTCATCATTCGTCTCCCACTTCCCTTGGTCATTTCTTTATTTTGCTTTGATATATTTATATTTTTAGATTATGGCATTTCTTGACGATAATACAGTACCAAAACATTTATCTGCATTAGGTTTCTCCTGTAAAGTTAGTTTCCTTCATGACAGGATGCAGTTGAAATGTATCTTTGGATTGTGATTTCTATCAAGTATATCAGTGTGTGCAAGCTGTTTTGTAATTAACTAATTTAATATTCCAAAGCATTTGTGTCAGGTGAGATAGTAACCACAGTCTATGCAGATTTCAAATTAATTTGGGCCCAGAAAATACAAAGGATAGTACTGTATATAGAGAAGGAAGAAATGTGTGCAGTAAAAAGAGTACCTCTTTACTGCAGCCTCCTGAAGCCTGCTATTCTACTGAATTATAAAATCTATTGGCTTAGTCAGCATCCCTTTGAGGACAGTGGGTCTTGTAGTGGAGACATTTTGATGGCACCAGCTGGTCAGGAAAGCTAGCTTTAGTGCAGTGGTCCACAATCTTGGGCCTCCAGATGTTCTTGGAGTACAACTCCCAGAAGCTTTCACCACCACCACTTCTGCTGGCCAGGATTTTTGGGAGTTGAAGTCCAAGAACATCTGGAGGCCCAAGGTTGAGGACCACTGCTTTAGTGCATGTATGAAAGTACCTTTCTAGCCTAGGAGCCATTAGGTGTTTTGATGTTTGAAAAACAATGAAGTAGGAATGCAGTTTTCTAAAGCTTATATAATTACTTCTAATCTGAAGTGGCTCTTTATATTTAGGTACTTGATTAGGCTCAACAGGGGATGGAAACTAGAATACTAACAGTGTTTGTTTATACAAGGGGTGCTGATAAGTATTGAGCCTTTCCCAGAAAAAAATGAGCTAGGAAGCTGTAACTGCCACACTATTCTACATATTCCCCCAGGAAGTCAATGCACCTGCGACAGCTGTCATGCAGCTTCTTAAATTCCTGCAAATAAAGTTCTTCCAACTGCTAGTGTAACCACTCAATTATGGCATTAAACACTCGTTGTCCCTTTAGGTATTTTTTTGAGTTTGGGGAACAGATAAAAGTCAGAAGGAGCCAGGTCAGGAGAATAAGGTGAATGGGGCATCACGTTTTTGTCTTGAAATTTTTAGTTCCTGTATTGTGGTTTGTTTTAATGCCCTTTTTATATTTCTTTTTGCGTCTTAAAATTCGCTTGCAACTAAATCATTAAATGTTACTTTTTTGGGGCATTTCATTTTCTTGGAATTGACTTTTGTTTTCAGGGGTCATTGGATTTAAGTGTCACAAACAAACAAACAAACAAACAAACAAACAAACAAACAAATAAATAAATAAATAAATAAATCATCACCGCGGGGAGGGGGGCGATGATAACTTCCTCAATGGCTCAAGGGGGCGTTTCTTTCAAAAAGGTTAAGAACCACTGGACTACAGTATTCCTTTGTCCCAGGATCATAACAGTAGATCCATGTCTCATCACCAGTTACCAGTTTGCCCAGGAAATCTGACTCATTTCTTGCAAAATGTTCCAAAACAGCCACTGATTACTCCACACGTTTCCTCTTTTGTTCGGTTGTCAAAAGTTTCGGGATCCACTTTGCTGCCAGCTTTTTAATTTCCAAGTCGTCGTGGATAATGGCACCAACTTTCTCACATGATATTCTCAGATATATAGCAATACTTTTGGCTGATATTCGGCAGTCCTCCATGATAATGTCATGGGTGGCTTTCACATTTGCAGGCGCAGAGTCAGAAACAGTCCTTCCACTGGGTTTCTCACTTTCAACACCAAAATGGCCAGTTTTAAAATTGACAACCGAACGTTTAACTGTTGCATATGAAGGGCCACTGTCACCCATAGTTTGTGACATTTCATCATGGATCTGCTTAGCACCTTTCCCTTGATTATAGTCCTATGCTCTTCCACATTGCACTTCTCTGGAGGTGCCGCCATGTTCACTTGTATCAACTCTATGAACTAATGATGTTCAAAGGTTCTATCATTAATAGCTTATCTCAGGTCACACAAACGAATGGCTGGATTCTCCTTTATTAAATTAGTCCATCTCAGATTAGACCTTTCTCTCTTCTTACTACTATTAGGCCTTTCTTCATTTCCTAGCATTATTGCTGTTTTGACTGTAATCTTCTCACTCTATACCCAAGTATGATACCCTTAGTTTATTCATTTTAGTAAGGTTCTTTCTTTAAAGATAGCACTCTCTAGTAGGACTTATTCCCAGTCAATGCTATTTTAAAGTAGCAGTTCTATGTCCTTCCATAGAAATAAGACAATTGAATTCAGTAAACTTACTTCCAAGTATGTAAGACTTGCACTGTGAGACACCATTACATGGAGACTTTTATTTTGTAATGGCTACAGTTTTATTTATAACAATATATTTTTATTTTGTAAAGGGGATTCCCCTTATTTATATATTACAATCTGAAATCAGGATAAGCAATTAACTTGTAAAGATGGAGAAGTCTGCCAATCTAAAAATAATGTGTCCACCTTTAAGTTTTTATTGTTTGTCACTTCTGCATCAAATAGCATTGTAGCTCTTTGGAAAAACAGGTGTGACAGTGTTATATCCTCATGAACAACATTAATGTTTTCTGATTAGAATAGAGGAAGTAGAGATAAGATTTTCACACGTTTCTGTAGACGTGTATGGGGATGTGCCCTCTTAACAGCCAAATCCTATGCGTTTCTACTCAGAGGCAAGTGGCATTGAGTTAGCTTGGGGATTACTCCCAGTGAATCTATAAGTATAGCTAGAGTTACCTTAAATATCATAATTAAAATTGGTGTCTCTGGATGGTGTGCTTATTTGCTATAAAGAGACTGTTCCAAAAATACTGTTGTGATGCCTGCTTCATTACCCTGATATGTAAAGGTAGTCTGGCTAAAATATTAAAGGATTATTACAGAGGTACAATGGGCCTCTAGTTTAGTTTGAAAAATAGATGCCAAGCCCTTTTTAAAAAATAAGCTAAAGTAAGTATGTATTGCAGCTGTCAAAACGATGTAGCTAAGCAGCCAAATAACACATTTGACATTTTTATTGTGCTATAGCAATTGATGTGAAGAGCACTTCAGTATTACAAAGCAAAATAGGCATTACTGGCAAGTGCATTCACGGTATGTAACAAAAATCTAAAACTTATATAAGCTAGCTAAAAGTTTAAAAAGGTGACAATTTTGTTTCCTTTCCTAGGTCTTGTGCTATCTTTTTTGTTAGAGCAGAAGTGTGGCCCCCTTGCCACAACATATACTTGTGCCCAATTCAGTTCTCCTGCCAGCTCAAAGGCTGAAGTGGCAGAAAGCATTTACATTGACTTTGTGGCAATGTATATTTGTGTATTTATATTTAAGCATATGTTTGTAGCACAGTGACCCTAAATCGGAAGAGGGAATAGATTCTGTGAAGGGTACCTACAGTATGAGAATGACCTCACTGATGATCTGTCACTGTTCAGGGCAATGTACTATTCTAGATGCCTTGAATTTTTGCAGGGCAGGGCACTGATGACTTGTGTGTGTAATATATTCTTACATGTGGCCACAGAAAATTCTGTTGTAATTAATAGGTATAATCATGGTGAAAATGTTCCTTTTTATTTTCTTTTAGGTTCATTGGAGGGGTACCTCTTTCATTTTTTATTTTTTCCATGCTCCGCTCCTTTTGTTTGATACGAAAGGAACTTCCTCCGTCAGCTTCTTTCATTTCTTTCTATTTTCCAGACAGGACACTAGGAGCCAACCTACAAGATGGACTCTGTTACATGTTCAGCATTCCTGTTTGTAGATGTTCTGATAGGCTCCTGACAGCAGCCCTTGCAATACAGTGGGGTCTCAACTTACGAACTTAATCCGTATTGGAAGGTGGTTCTTAGGTCGAAAAGTTGGTAGGTTGAATCTGCATTTCCCATAGGAATGCATTGAAAACTATTTAATCTGTATCTGCTCTTTTCCGTCCATAGAAACTAATGGGAAGCTGCTATTTCGCCTTCTGCCACTAGAGGGGGATATTTTTTCTTTTTTCCCTTAGGTTCAGGAAAGGAGGAGGAAGGCAGGGAACAGTTTGCAAAGCACTTGAGAATTCTTTTTTTCAACAAAGCCAATTTTAAATCATGTTTTAAAGCATGTTGTGCTGATTTTTTCAGCACAAAGACACACAGACAGGCTTTTTAGGTGCTGAGCAAGCCTCCCCAAGCCTCTTCAGAACCAGCCGATCAGCTGATAGGCGGGGAGAGGAGGGTGCAGGAGGGGGGGAAAAGCACAAAATGGCTGCCAGGCTCCCTTCTGGTGTGGGCTTTTA